TGGGAGGTGGAGCAGATGTAGCTCCAGGACCACAGGGACAACCCTGAAAACCAGTGAACACATTGTTACAGCCTGAGTTGATACAATTATTTAGAGTTGAACCTTAATTTTCACCGATGTTTTTATATTAAATGCAAGTAACAACATGTTTCACCTGACATGACCCCTTTGTCTTGGGAGGAGGTGGGATGACTGCCCCCATGCTACAACATAGAAATACAAAGAAATATGTAACAAAAGTAATTTAAAAGATCAAGCAACTTGAACAGCTAAATAAAGTTACTACAGGTGAGCTCTGTTACACTACCACGGCACAGAATTCAACTGTTAAAATGTACAGTAGTGGTATAAATTAATCTTACTAGTAAATTCTGTGGGATTGAAATCTCTAACAAAATAAAAACATGTAAACCAAGGATCGTTGTTCTGCAGAAGTTCCAATGATAGCCTTATGTTTGCAACGTGGTGGCATTTCTTATCAATGCAAGAGCACTGACCTCTGCAGCCATGTCCGTAAGAAACTCATCTCTGGAAGGTGCAGCAATGACGGGTTGGATTCGCACATCTCCACAAAAACTTTCAGCTCAGCCACTTTCCGTGGATCCATGGTGCTGTGTCTCGTTAAGCACTGAGTGAGCTGGGAGTGGAGGAAAGCGGAAATGGGAAACAACAATCAACAGCTTTTACAGAGAGTGTGGTGTGTTTACACACAGTCACCAATGCTAAGGGAATTGATGCTAAGCTAACTGCGCTAAACAGCCACGAGTGAATGAAAGTCTTGTCAACCTTAAACAGGAAAACCCCAACACGCGCACACAAACACATAATCATATATCGAAAACACACAGTAAAGCAACATGCAGATGTGTTAAGAGTGTCTAAATTTCGACATCGTAGAAGTTTCTAGAAATGTAATTGTGTCAGTGACGTGAGGTGTAATTGACGCATGATAATGGAGGGTAGCAAAGCTGTAGCTGCAGCTAAGAGCGACATGAACAAAGATGCGTATGAAGCCAGAGCCGTTAATCAGTGTTGAAAATGAGACGCACCTATTCGATGATCTAAGCTCTTGGAGCTCCAAAGAGGAATCACAATTGACAGCAATAAACGAGTTACTCCGCTGCTTGCTTTCACTTCTGTGGCAGCAGTGTCGCTTCTCTGTTTTCATTCAGGCAACTTGATAGACAGACCCATCAGATCTACGGGTATTATTGCCCCGAGTATGTGTTTCAGGCAGTCGTCAGATACTGTGCTGAATGAGAAAAGAAAAAAAAAGCTCAACGCCGTCATCATCCGTTGTTGCCGATTTCTACTTCTACTGACTCTTAGGTTGCTTACATTTGTTATTTGGTAAAACCCAGGTTTTCTGAGGCTTTTACCTGGCCATTTTATCAATGGTCACTGGATCATTGTCACCGCCAGTACATCTCACAGTTGCTTTCTCAACACTTGACCAAAATAGTGTTCTAGTTTGTGTAAGTGAAACGTTTTCCAATTGGACTACAACAAGTTTAATCTTGTTTTATTTTTATAAAAGCTTCCTATTCACTAAGGTTTCTGGATATTATGAAAGTATTAATTCAGCGCTTAGGAAAGTATGCGGAACCAAGGTGCATCCGCCTGTAAAGCCAAACTGAGGACAACAAAATCCCACTTTTAAGAAAGACCGTATCCATGCTCTATAATGAAGGTTTAAGCAATAGCTAACGACGGTACCTGTCTTGTCTGTGTAAATTGGAGTAAACGCGTTTTTTAATTGTTAGTCGCATAAACACACATCTTAGTGTAAATATTCAGTTTAAGGTGAACACTGTTTTTTTCTGGCACCTTACATTTTGTGTCCATATTTGGACGACATGCGGTGATACTTGTGTCCTCCAGCTGTAGCAACTATGTTGCCTTTACCCAGCAGCTTGATCAGGTCTGCTGTCCGGCTGCTGCGGCCACAGAGGAACACAGGTCGGTCCAACTATTCAACATCCTAGTATTTTTGGCTATGTGTCTTTAATGTTTCTTGTGCTTTGACACAATATGTCCCAAATGGAGGGTCGTGACCCAATGGAAGGCCACAATGGTTAATGGTTGACTAACAGGAAAGGAAAACATGCTATGTTCAGGCTGTTTTTGTCATGTTTCACCAACGTTAAAGATGTTTTTTACATCTAATGAAATATGGAGTTAAATGTTTTCTGTTTGTAAACATCATCTATTTACACCTTTGCCTGCAGGGGGTGCTGAGAACATAAAACTTATTTCAAATATTATTATTCACATATTCTAGCTCCTGACATTTGGCTGTGACTCCAGTATGTGATCAGTGTTTCTGTCTACAGGGTGTGTCTGGTGCTGGCACAAAAACATTTCTTTGAAACCAGGAGGTTTGAAACCAAAGACAGTTCCACCTCGTTACCTGGGTCAGCCCAGCCCTTTTACACATCCACACCTCCTTAAACATGGTGAGTTTTTTCACAATACTTTTGTCAGATTTACCTGGCAGCAAACACAGCATGCTGTGTACATAATTAAGTGGAATAAGAAATCTTAAACTCTTTCTAGTCTGCACCAATAATGCTATGTTTATTTCTTACATGCATTGTACAATTATAGAATACAAGAGGTTTTTTTTTAACGTATAACTGCGTTTGAATGTCGACCGCCTTAATTTGGCTGTGTAATTACTTCATTTCATTTAACCATTCCCCAAGCGATCCCAAGAAAGGAACTGAAATAAATTTGTCTCATTTTACAAAACCAATTTGGCAAAGGATTATTTTTTCCAATTTTATCAAATGTAACATATGAATCAGAAATAGAGAGATCCATACTGAACATATGTGTGTGGCATTTCACAGGTGAGGTGACCCCAGGTTTGAGCCAGGCAGAGTATGAACTACGCAGACAGCGTCTGGCCTCTCTCATCGAGGCACAGGCGGAGAGACTGGCACCATCCTCTTCCTCCATCAACCATGTGGTCATTATTTTATCTCATCCCACTCGTTACATGACCAATGACATCCCTTACCCTTTTCACCAGAACCAGGTGTGGCTATAGCTATATGCGTTTGTTTTATTTCATGAACTTGTCTGTATTTAAATGCAAACTAAAACAAGCATTAAGTACTTTTTTTTTTTTTTACAATTGCATGTAAAACTGCTTTTTACTTTGCAGTCTTCAATCTACACCAAATAACTTGGTATTAAATATCCCACAGGATTTTCTTTATCTTAGTGGCTTCCTGGAGCCGGACAGTGCCTTGGTTCTTTATGGGAATGGACGACCAGATCAGTCCATTTTGTTTGTACCTCGGAGAGACCCAGGGAGGGAACTGTGGGATGGACCTCGGTCAGGGAAGGATGGAGCAGCTGCTCTGACTGGCATAGAGAGAGTTCATAGCACGGAAGAACTGGGGATCGTGCTCAAGGCCCTTAAAGGTGCGTAAATGATGAGAGAGGGAGGAGCCATGTCTAGGAGCACAGCCTCTCGTCAGAACTAAATAACATATAAACCCCCACAACCATTCTATTTTCAGGCACTCAGCTCTGGTACGATCACTCTCAGCCTGTCAACCCTCAACTCCACCAGACTTGTGTCAGTCCTCTGATGGAGGCGGGACCTCTTCCCCACTCTCCAAGGCCCCTCATACACTCTCTTCGGGCCCTCAAAAGCTCAGCAGAAGTGGCTCTCATGCAAGAAGCGGGTCGCATCACAGCACAAGTAGGCACCATTTATCTTCTTGCTCTGAAGCCTCGGTGCTAACCACTAAGCAACTGTTCATCATACAATAAGGACTCAAATCTCCAGTTTGCTGATGGACTTGAACATAATCTAACTCACTGAAGGAGAAAGAAAAACCCTTCACCACTCGTTGGTGTCCTATAGAATGTATGTAGAATGAACATCTAATTCCTAGTTATACTATATTATGAACTGAATAAACTAGCTCTCTGAGTTGGTGTCTCTACTTGGACAACTATCTCTCCTCGTGGAGATTACACTTCCTTTCCATAGATTAAAGACTCACCTGCTCTAAAACAAACTCTTATCTTTCAGGCTTTTAGGAGGACCATGGCTCTGTCTCAAGGAGAGGTGGATGAAGCTGTGCTCTATGCCAAGGTAATGGGAAATGTTTACTTATCTTACTTCATTGCTATTATTGTCTTTTTAGTTTATTGATCAGGTTCATTAATGACACTAATGTGACCATAAAGGTCTTTGATTATTCAGTCAATGCAGAAGTAATCAACTCTTCCACATTGGGGTTAACAATAAAGGTTGCACTTTAAAATAACTGAGTCTTAATCACAGATGGACAGCCCAGGGTAGAAATGCCCCCAAATGTTTTTTGTCATATTTAGTTGTGTTGAATAGTCATGGTTAATTGTGATTAATCAAGATTTGGCTGCTGTTTTGTTTCTTCAGTTCCATAGTAAAAGGCACAAATATTTCTTTCATTCACTGAATGTCACTCACTGTTTCAGACACACTCACACACTTTGTCTCTATCTCTGTAATATCTCATGTCATTCCAGTTTGATTTTGAGAGTCGGATCCATGGCGCCAACTTCCTGGCTTATCCACCTGTGGTTGCTGGAGGAAACCGAGCCAATACTTTACATTACATAAACAACAATCAAATCATAAGGGTATGAAATACAACGCATGCTCAACAGTCATACATATAAGGAGGAGTAAGTGACCATTTTTATATGGGTAATTTGGTTATTTTTTTCCTCTTCCTGTTTTGCATCAGGATGGTGAACTGGTGCTACTTGATGGTGGCTGTGAATACTTTGGCTATGTCAGTGATATCACACGAACATGGCCAGTAAATGGAAAGTAAGTAAGATAGCCATTCACATATGAATATATTTCTTAGGTGTTCCAGGTATAACAACCTGGTGAAGTTCATGGGTTTAAATAATTGGAAGCTGGGTATGAAACATAAAGAAGAGTAATTTGCATTCAGTAACAGTAACTATAAAAAGACCCATAAACTACAACAAAGTTTTAACCTAACTTTAGGTTGTTGTTAATTGTTAATCATAGTTTACTGATTTGCTGAATTTGTGTATTTTCACGTGCATTTAATGTCTGTTCCAGATTCAGCCCTGCCCAGGCTGAGCTGTATGAGGCAGTCCTGGAGGTTCAGCGCTGCTGTTTGTCTTTGTGTTCCCCGGGTGTCAGTCTGGATCATATTTACAGTACAATGCTCTCTCTGCTGGGACGGCAACTCAAGAGGCTGGGGATTGTCGATGCTGGCACCAGTGATGCCGATGTACTAAAGGTCATAATCAGAGAAAAATGATGACGGTAGAAAAATTTAATAAGGACTAAGTACCTGTGAGATGAGGTGCACCATTAATTTTACTGCTATAAATGCAAACATTTATCTGGAAAAAGTGGCTTAATGGTGGTTTGTGGAAACTAATTTGTATATTTGATATGCACAGGCCGCTCGACGCTACTGCCCCCACCATGTTGGACATTACCTGGGTATGGATGTCCATGACACTCCTGAACTGTCCCGCTCACAGCCTTTACAGCCAGGGATGGTCATTACCATAGAGCCAGGTACGGCTGAATTATTGTTTTAGTTAACTCTGGGTGATTTATCTCAGCTGCCATTTTTTTTCTTTGTAATGTCATACATTTTCTACTTTTTGCAGGATTGTACATCGGCAAGGACAATGAACAGGTGCCAGAACGTTTCTGTGGACTGGGCGTCAGAATTGAGGATGATGTGGTGATCAGAGACAAGGGAGGACCGCTCATTCTGTCCTCCGAGGCACCAAAGACCATTGCTGATGTAGAAAAGGCCTGTGCCCGGAGATAGAACAGAGAGCGAGGAAAGACCAAGTCAGCCTTAGTGTCAGGAGGTGGGAGTGTGCTGTGGATTTTGACCTTCTGCATTTGATCAAGCTCAGGGTCCAGATACATGAAAGGTGTGAGTGCAACTCCCGTTTGAGCTCATCACTGTCTTGCAAATCTGTGATGTGATCTTAAAATGTAATTTTACAATGGTGTTGAACGGAATACTTTAAATGTCCTCCTCTCAAACAACTACACACAAGACAAGCAAAACAAAAACATGCCTTATTTACCTGATTACATGTATGTTCAGTATTGTGATGGTGCTATTGTAAGGTCTCTACTTTTGGGGATTTTAAAAACCAACAATTACCCAACATTTCCACCTTAATGTGATAAAGAAACAGTTACCTAATATGCTACTTACAATTCACTTGTCAGTAAATGTCTTATACACCAACATGCAGCAGATGGTTCAAAAATCAGGCCCGCAAGATTAGGAAGGTCCAACATCTCCACATTTGGACACCTAGATTTTACAAAAGGAACACGCTGACATCAGCAGCTTCTACTACATCAGTGTGTTAGAATAAATGCTATTTCTGTGGATGAATGTGTGGACTAGGGAACCTCTTAAAGAAGATGTGAAAATTGTATTTAAATTGTATGTATTAATATATTTTTCTTGAAAATCTAATCTATTTAGTTTGTCCTACTCTGGTTCCTCTTGACTGACACGTTTAAATAAATACAATTTTTTTTATGAGTGGCTGCATTGAGTGAGGCAGCAAAACGCTGACTGTGACACAAATAACATAGAATTGATGACAAAACTACTGGGCCTCTAAGGTAATTTTAGTCCTTTTAGATTATTTCCCATGTGCTTTCATTCAGACAAAAAAAAGATCCCCGTAGTTAAGGGCTTGATAAGGGAACTGCTTAGAAGGAATGGGCTGGAATGCCAGAGGAAAACTGTTAAAAGAAAAATGTATTCACTGAAAAGTAATACATCCGAAGATGGAGTTAAAAATGTATAAGTTTAATTGTGCAAGATGGAGCAGGTACAGAGCAACAGACGGTACGAATGTTACAGAGAGGTTCTCAGCTGGTCTCAGTCTGGAGTCCTCCTTTATCCTCTTTTCAGCTGCCGGCCTCCTCCAAACTGTGCTCCTTGTTGTCGAGTGGCCTCTGTTGTTTTAAATCTTGGGTGAGAGGAGTCTTCACGTCAGATAACAATGACCTTGGGGTCGCGTACTCTTTAAAGTTCAACTTTGTACCATCCATCCCTTTCTCTCACAGAATCATGTGAAAAAACAAACAGGGTAGTTTATCTGAATATGATATAATATGTAGACAATATCACTTTTTTATAACAAAAAACAAATCTTGAACTAATGTTTATGTTGTTAGCATCACATTTGTTTCACCTCATCGTATGGTCAAATTCGCAGTCTGCTCAGCGCTCATCGGGTATAACCTTTGGTTACTGTGGTTTCTTCAAGAGCAAAAAGTGGTCACTCCTCTCATATTTTCAGTTAAAATGATCCTCTAATGTAGAAGTTGGTATCAGTCAAATCCATTTTTGTTTCATCCCATCATAAATTATTGAAGAGGCATAGCACACAAGCCTCTCTAAGGCTATACCACAAACAAGTCTGGTGTCAGAGGGTAGTAATGATGATTGATGATAATCCCACTATCTGCAACTTTTCTGGGTTTTGATTTGGTCAATCTCTTTTAAACTATTTTTATGAAAGACATCCAAAAAGGTTATTTTCCCCTGTAAACATAAACTTTATATACAGTATCTCCCAGGGGAAAATGTTTTACACAACGGGCAGTCAATGTGAAACTGATGGAGTTTTTTTGTACCCATCTCTAAATTCATTACGTGCTTGACCACTTATTTATTTGTGTGGATTCAGATATCAGCTGGTACATTCATGACTTGTTTTGCAAATATTGCTACTTCCTGTTGTTAACTTTTCATTTCCTGAAGCCTCTCAAGAAATGCAGGGGGGTTTATAAACTAATCCCCATAACTTTATATCACCTGTGTTTTAATATTTTTCCAAGTAGAAGTAGACACTGGGACGTAAGGATTTTTAGCCTTTAAAAAAATACTTGCACACATTATTTTTTTCACAGTTATACAAGTTATAGTTTGAAAAGTGTGTAAAAGTAAAGGTTGTAACTTAGTTATTAGTGCTACTGTAGTCGGTAAACGTAGGGCATCACTGGCCCCTAGAGATAAAAGAAGGCAGTTGCTGTCAGAGAGTAGAACCGAACCGAGACGAACCTGGGTTCCGATCAATCCCGAACACCTACGAAGACGAGCTCCCCTCTCCTTCCGTCCTCTGCCTCCCTCCCCTTCACGCCTAATGTTGCTGTACCTCCAACCCTCCCCCCGTATCAGAGAAGTAGAAACAACAAGCCGCCATTTTGTTTGTGCGGACAGACCGTCAGAAACAGGAGGAGATAACCCAGAGAAGGAGCGACTCCGGCGACCGAAGTCAGCCGCTCCGGGAACCGCCGGTGGGGGAAGAGAGCGGACAAACCTGCCCGTGTTATCCAAGAGAGCGAAAGCATCAACGAAAAGATAAGACGGGAGTGAAGGGAAGAGGCGACTGGGTGATACATATATTTATATATATATATCCATACACATATGCATGCATGAGAAGGAAATACTCCGAAAAATCCAAGGAAGGGGGTGTTTTGCGGAGCGGAGACGGAGAGGGGAGGCGGAAGAGAGCGATACGTAAAAGCAAGGAGAACCCAGCGAAAAAGGGAGAAAACACCAATATGAAATATCATTATGTGTCCGTGTCGGAGGAAGGAAAGAGTCCGCATAGACAATTATATAAATAAATTGCTGCCGGGCAGAAGGGAGAGGTGGAAAGACAGACGGCTTTAAAGAGAAGGTGGAAATTGCCTGGATCAACGCAAAGGGGGGGCAACCTCCATCACAAAGAGTCAATGAGAGGATTTTGACTGCTCAAAAATATTTCATGAGGGTGACAACATCATTGTGCCGACCTGGAGCTTTGCGCTTCCGAAAAAGCCATCATTGCTGAGTGACCCGCCGTCACATTTCATCACATTTTCGCATGAGCTCCTGTTTTTTTTGTTCGGAGCTTTCGCTTTCTATTAGCGTGCATGGTCAAGACGTCCAACAGCAGCCAGAGACTGACAAGTACATAAATGTTTAGAGGTATATAGACATGTAGACATTACTGTTTGCATTATCTAATATTTTAGGACTGACAAGGAACCTGTCCAGAAGAACAAATACCGTCCTCTGCAAAATAAAAGTAACTGAATCATTCTGGCACCCAGCTGATTGACAATTAGTGCTTTGATTTTTCTTGAAATACTATCTTGAAAGTGTAAGCCACAAGCGGCTGCACGGAAGCAGCGAATCTGTTTTTCCCCGTGAGATTTGTCCATTCTCAACCATTGCAACCCAACAGACTGCTGGGCGCAATCGCGCAAAAGGGTTGCAACAACCAAATGTGCAATACGAGTCTGTTCTTTATGACCCAGTGCCTTCCACCACGAAGTGCACAGTTGAGCCTGCATGCACACGCAAAAGTAAAGTCGTGCGTGGAAAAAACACAATTGCCATAGTGTGATCGCGAGTTTGTAACTCGTGTGTCCATCACTGCAGATCCGTCCGTCCATCAGCTTTTACTAAAACAATGCAAATTGTTTTTTTTCTCTCAGTGTTGACAGTGCCACTTAGACTTTAACTGTATTTTAATCCGCTGCTGATCTCCACGCCATACCTTTGCCTTTTTGGTTCGGGAACGTAAAGGAATTTTTGGTTTTGAGAGCAGTGTCTGCCCAGGTGAAAGAGATTGTAACTGTTGCATGAAAAGTTATCACAGGAAGTGCATCCTGGTTCCATTTATATTGGATCCCAATTTCTTTTTTCCTCTTACACACGCCGAGAATTCCTACTGGATCGCTTCGGGGGTGAAGTACATGCTTTCTCCGCCGACTATGGCGCGCAGGAGTAAGTGCAGCACAGAGGAAGGATCTCGGGACACTTTAGTGTCGTAGAGAGGAGGCTACATGAGGTTGTCAGAGGGCCGCACGCTTGCCTTTTCTGCCGACTCCACCTTCCCACCTCCTCCTCTTCAAATCTGCGAAGAAACAAAATCTCCGTCAGGGGAGGGGGATTGATATCTGCAGAGAGGAATAAACCGAGAGGGAGAAGTCTGAGAGGAGTTGAGCTTCGCTGTCTTCTCCCCTGCCGTCCCCCAAGCGGTGGGGGAACGATCAGAAATTTATTTTATAAGGACAAGACAAGGAGACGGAAATAAGGGAGATACTTTTGCCCTTCGTGGAGCTACTACATTTTTTAATTCGTCAAAAAATATGGCCGATAATGTCCTGGAGTCCGGCCCGCCTTCTGCCAAGAGGCCCAAGCTGTCCTCCCCAGCTCTATCGGTGTCTACCAGTGATGGAAACGGTAAATACACTGCATGCATTACTTAACAAAAGACAAAGTTTTTACTGACTTAAAGTGTTGTTTGTATCGTAAGGAAGTACCTCGGAGTTGCACTGCAACTTAGTTGGTCTGAGGCATAGGTGGTCTATAATTAACGATTAACTGTAAATGTAACCATGTTGGTAGTTTTCGTTGAAAACATCCTCCGAAAAGTTCAGCCTAACAGTTTGGAGTTTTAAAAATTAAAGTCTAAGTCGTGCATGAGCCGGGGCAGTAATGTTTTGATGCGTTAGCCTCAACGGGCTAACTAGCTACAACTACAACATCCACCTCCCAAACAATGGAAGAGTCGAATCACTCCACTTTACTCCAAGTTCTCTACCTCTTTCAAAAGTTGTTGTACTTAAAGCAGAAGTCCACAAAAGCGTGGGACACTGAAATTTAGGTGTTCTTTATAAACGAATTGACAAATGTTCTTCCTAAAACAGCTTTTGGAGAAAGTAACGGAGTGATGAGCTAACTAGCTAGTTACCCAGCGGACCGGCTCAGCTGTGCACGGTAACAGGCTACGCAAGGAAATACACCTAAGCTTATTGGTCAACTTCTGAGCTAGAATCTAGTTTATACAAACTTTTCACAATTATTTCTTCTACTTTGTCTGGTTTCATGAGTTTAGTGAGGCCAAAGTGTCATAAGCTCTTAATATAACCGTTTGCGTTGAGCGGTTGTATTTGAAACGCAACTAGCTATTGTTCGACACTTCAATTGAATTGCGCTAACAGTTGTCCCGTTGAAAATGCGAGTTGTTTATGAATTTTAACAGTACTGATTTATTTCAATAAAGTTAAAGACACGTGTGACACAATAATATGAAACATTTTCCACCGTGACTCTTCTAAAACTCCTACGTTTATCGTTACTGTGTTGCCGACGAAGCCCATTCTTGTTCTCCCATTGTCTGACTAACACGGCGACACTGCGCTGCACTTTTTGCAGCACCACTTAACCCGAGCACAGCACTCGAATGGTTCTGTACTTCAGTGTGATTTAATTGATAACGCAAAGGAATTAATTTTCACAAAGTGACCAAAATACTCTACACCTTAGTGGTAAATAGACATAACTTATCAGGCTACTTAGTTGCGTACGATCTTCAAAGTTTTTCAGTTTAATTTCCCACATAACACTGCTTACAATTTTATTTTAGAAGTCCTGGTTGAGGATAGTTTTTTGTTATTTACATATAAGAAGTCGATTTTAATATATTTTCTTTAATATTTTTTGTCACCATAATTTTTTTGTCAAAATCAAAATAAATGTTGACTCTAGAATATAGAAATATGCTTCCACTTTTACCCTGACCCTAGTCCTTCTCTGCTATACATGAATAAATCCCAAATCTATCTAGGTATTTAACATTTACTCTGTGTGGCTTTTCACCATGACCCCACTGTGTTCACTTTACTATTTTGGCTCTACTTCAAACCAAAACCCGAAAAGACATCCAGGTTGTTCAAGTCAGCCACTGATCGTGCAGCTGTTAAGATGTAGCCTCTGGCTTATTGGTTAATAAGTTTATAATAATATTTTGTCTTTTGTGTATATGCTTTTAAGATTTTTCTTAAATACTTAAAAACAAAATTCTTTGCACACTAACTTTCGACGTTTGTTGGTTGTTGTCGTTTTAGAGCCTAAGATCTCTCTCTCTCTCTTCCCTGGTGTTTAGATTTTGGTTCATTCCTGGACCTGGAGCATGACCTCCCAGATGAGCTCATCAGTTCTTCGGACCTGGGTCTAACCAATGGAGGGGATGTTAGCCAACTCCATACTACTCTCAGTGGCATTGGGGCTGGGTTGGGTGTGGTAGGAGGCCAGGATGCTGCTGCAAAGCACAAACAGCTGTCTGAACTTTTGCGTGCTGGGGCGCCAGGACAGCAAGGTGGCCCAACGTCCAACAACACAGCACCTGGGGCTTCCATGGGGTTGATGGGAGGTGTCAATGTTTCCTCTGGTGGACCTCCAGGCATGCAACCCCAGGGCCAGCAGCAGCAACCTGGACTTATGCAGCAGGTTGGGATGGTTGGAGGTTTGACTGCTCTTAACCGAGCAGCGGCCATGATGGGTCCCCAGAAAGGCAACACTGGACAGCAACAGCAAGGGTTAATGGGGGGACAAGTAATGAATGGTTCATCAAGAATGGGTTACCCTGGCAATTCAGGCATGAATAATAGTGGTAACTTACTGGCAGAAACGCTTCAGATGCAGCAACAACCAGGGGGTCAACCAATGGGACCTGGTAGTCAGGCCGGGATGAGACCACAGCAACCAGGAGCACTAACCAAAGTAAGCAGACTTCCCCAGCTAATCTAATTCAAGCATTATAGCAGTCAGTAACAATTGTTTGATTAAGACTACATTTTTAAATAAAGATAAATGCGTCTCCATCAGGTGTGTCTAAAACATAACCATCTGGGTTATTTTATTTAAAAAAATTGGCAATTAGTTTTTTCCTATAATCTAAGTGAGATTGGTTTATTGCCTGTGACTCATTTCAGACTTGATTTAGAACATACACCTGTATCACTTATTTAAAGCGTGTAAACTTGCAGTTATGACACATCATACTTTTGTTCTGTGGTAATGCTGGTTAACCTCTATACGACAACATATGTTTCACAATCTGAATTTATTTTGAACAAGTGAAAACGCTGCAACCAGTGTGTGTATTATGTGGTTTCATGTCAGTGGTACTTATTTGACTATGACAAGTATGATTCAGCCAAAGTACCTTCGTATGATAAACATTTTCACTGCTTAATTTGTTTTTTATATGCACACCAATAGTAAAATAATTTAGGCTGAAACATCCTAATTAAATTAATAGGAAGATTTCTACATTGGCTTGCTTTAGTGAGCTTTGTGATTTGAGGAGAAATGAGTGTCCACACACAAAAATAGGATTGCTAGCACTTGTTTTGCAAAGATTTTGTTTTTCTAAAACTATTCACCTTTTCCATATTTGATTGAACTTATGTTTGGTAGTGGAATGTACCTTTTGATTTATATTTGTTGTTTTGTTCTTCCTTTGATAATTTTTCTCTCTGTCTTTTTGCCTCTCCTTTCACCACTACTCTCTCTCAATCTCCTCTGTCTTCCTAATTATCGTTTTTCCAGATGAATATGATGGCCAACGCGGGCCCCTATGGTGGTCCATACGGCCAGTCTGCCAGCCAGGGGTTGCCTGGAGCAGGGCTGGGCCCTCAGCTCCAGAATAAAGCGGGCTTGCCCAACAACATGGCTGCTCATTTCAACATGGACAAAAAGGTGCCACAAAGTCAAGGCATGCCTGGGATGGTAAGATTTTCTTTTGTTGTTGTTGATGCATGCGAGGACATTTTAAAGTCACCATCAGTCAGTATAACTATTGATACTTGATCATTTAATATTTGACTAGCTATATTTAATTCTGGAGAGGGCCATGTAGAGGTCTGCAGGCTCTAACTCCTAAGTTCATTGGTCCAGCAGGTTGTTGATTGTAACCATCATTAGCTCATAGATGTAATTAAACAACAGTGGATGGTCTGTTGTAATTTGGAGTCATTTAGTGTCCCTGTTGAATTTGGTTATAATCAACCACAGGCTTAATCTGTTTTTTTAAGGAAACTGACATAATTATTTATGTGATTCTCCTGGTTGTAATTACAGCACTGGTTTAAGAAATGTTTTAAAACAGACTTTCACTGTCACTCTCTGTCTAGAAGTGAGACTAAAATGATAAAGATCAACTAGCATGTTACGTGGTAGCAGGTTGGGGCATTAAACCTGGGAATAATCCAGTATGGGTGTTTGCAAAAAGATTGGTTTGGAGTGGTTTTTGAAAAAGAAGACGTAAGAAATAGCCTAATAACTTTTGGGGAAATTGTTCTAAATGGTTCCTTTTTCTGTCTAATCTTTTTCTGTCCTCTGTCACAAGCCCTCGCAGCAGCAGCAGCAGCAGCCTGGAGCAGTGGGAAGTGTGTCCGTTGGCGCAGCAGCAGCATCAGCAGTGGGAGGGGCACAGGTTGGGCTCAGTGCGGTAGGGGCAGGTCCCGGCACTGCGCCCCCTACTGCAGACCCTGAAAAGCGAAAGCTGATTCAACAGCAGCTAGTTCTCTTGCTCCACGCGCACAAATGCCAGCGCCGAGAGCAAGCCAACGGTCAAGTGAGGCAGTGCAACCTTCCACACTGTCGTACCATGAAGAATGTGCTCAATCACATGACTCATTGCCAGGCTGGCAAGTTATGCCAGGGTAGGTCTCTTGAATTGTCCCGTTTACTGTTGTTTTAAGTTCACAAGAGGGGAAAAATGAAAAACATTCTCTTATAGTGCTTTCATTATATTGCCATATGTTTTTCTATTCTACACATTTGTTCCTGTTGTGTACACATTCACACTTTTTTGCCTCCTTCTCTCTAGTTGCACACTGTGCCTCATCCAGACAGATCATCTCCCATTGGAAGAATTGCACACGACACGACTGTCCTGTATGTCTGCCACTGAAAAATGCTGGCGACAAGAGAAATCAGCAACGTAAGTGTTGGATGTGATTTTTAGAGGATCATTATCCATTAAAATATGTGATCTATCCCTTATTTTATTTTTGTGACTTTTTCATTTTTCTCATATTCCCATTCTGGTTTGCTTGCAGCTCTACTCAACAGTGCAGGAGTTGGTTTAGTGAATTCTTTAGGATCAGGAATCCCTGGTGGACAGTCAAGCACTCCAAACCTGAACCCTCCTAATCAGATTGACCCCAGCTCGATAGAACGGGCCTATGCAGCACTAGGTCTCACTTACCAGGGCAACCAGATCCCGCAGCAACAGCAGCAGACTAACTTGCCAAACCAGGGACTACAGGGGCAGCCTGGAATGAGAAATTTGAACATAGGTTTGTTTGATGCCACATGTCATGTCATGTATTTGAGTATGTGTACGAGATTAACCCCCACCTTGAATTAAAAATACTGTTGCATTTGTTCTTGTAACACAACTCCAACTACTGTGTTTTTCCAGGTGGAAACACTATGGGAGTAAATGGTGGCGTGCAGCCTCCAAACTGGAAGTGTGTCCGTTGGCGCAGCAGCAGCATCAGCAGTGGGAGGGGCACAGGTTGGGCTCAGTGCGGTAGGGGCAGGTCCCGGCACTGCGCCCCCTACTGCAGACCCTGAAAAGCGAAAGCTGATTCAACAGCAGCTAGTTCTCTTGCTCCACGCGCACAAATGCCAGCGCCGAGAGCAAGCCAACGGTCAAGTGAGGCAGTGCAACCTTCCACACTGTCGTACCATGAAGAATGTGCTCAATCACATGACTCATTGCCAGGCTGGCAAGTTATGCCAGGGTAGGTCTCTTGAATTGTCCCGTTTACTGTTGTTTTAAGTTCACAAGTTAGAATATAGAGGGGAAAAATGAAAAACTTTCTCTTATAGTGCTTTCATTATATTGCAGGGGAAAAATGAAAAACATTCTCTTATAGTGCTTTCATTATATTGCCATATGTTTTTCTATTCTACACATTTGTTCCTGTTGTGTACACATTCACACTTTTTTGCCTCCTTCTCTCTAGTTGCACACTGTGCCTCATCCAGACAGATCATCTCCCATTGGAAGAATTGCACACGACACGACTGTCCTGTATGTCTGCCACTGAAAAATGCTGGCGACAAGAGAAATCAGCAACGTAAGTGTTGGATGTGATTTTTAGAGGATCATTATCCATTAAAATATGTGATCTATCCCTTATTTTATTTTTGTGACTTTTTCATTTTTCTCATATTCCCATTCTGGTTTGCTTGCAGCTCTACTCAACAGTGCAGGAGTTGGTTTAGTGAATTCTTTAGGATCAGGAATCCCTGGTGGACAGTCAAGCACTCCAAACCTGAACCCTCCTAATCAGATTGACCCCAGCTCGATAGAACGGGCCTATGCAGCACTAGGTCTCACTTACCAGGGCAACCAGATCCCGCAGCAACAGCAGCAGACTAACTTGCCAAACCAGGGACTACAGGGGCAGCCTGGAATGAGAAATTTGAACATAGGTTTGTTTGATGCCACATGTCATGTCATGTATTTGAGTATGTGTACGAGATTAACCCCCACCTTGAATTAAAAATACTGTTGCATTTGTTCTTGTAACACAACTCCAACTACTGTGTTTTTCCAGGTGGAAACACTATGGGAGTAAATGGTGGCGTGCAGCCTCCAAACCAGTCGTCTAGCCTATTACCAGACGCCATGTTGCACGGCAGCCTGAATGCCCAGAGGTACGGGGCTTTTTTTCCCTGTGATTATTCTTGTAAATGTAGGCAGTCCAGCCTGTCACGTCACAGGAAGAATGTGTTGTTTTTGGTGGCTGATATTTAAGTCCTCTTCTCATCTCTCTCTTTTGTTCAGTTTGATGAATGATAGTCTGGCAAGCTTGGGATCGATGCCCACAGCAACTCCTCCGTCCACTGCAGGCATGAGAAAGTCCTGGCATGAAGACATCACACAGGACCTACGCAACCACCTTGTTCACAAGCTGTGAGTCTACCATGTTACACAAGTTTGCCAAAATTAAACCTCCCTATTGAAACTGGATGTTATCTATTCTAACATCAATAGTAAATATGTTAAAAGTGTTTTCTCTGCATTGGTTTGCCTGTTTGTGTGCAGTGTGCAAGCCATCTTTCCCACTCCTGATCCAGCCGCGCTTAAGGATCGGCGGATGGAGAATCTAGTGGCGTATGCACGAAAAGTAGAGGGAGACATGTATGAAACGGCCAACAGTAGGGTAGGAGCCAGTTAATTGCAGAACACAAATCAACATTGTACAGTTAGCAGTTTTATTTGTATAACATTGAAATGATCTTTTCTAGGAGGAGTACTACCAGTTGTTGGCAGTGAAGATCTACAAGATTCAGAAGGAGCTAGAGGAAAAGAGGAAGACAAGACTACAAAAGCAGGGCATGATGCCAGGACAGCCTGGAATAGCTTCTACAGGCCCCCCACAAGGGCCTCCCAGCATGGGACAACCAACCATGGCTCCAGGGCCAACCTCAAGTAAACAAACAAACTTTCCTGTTTTAAAACCGTCCTCACATTCCTCTCTGTACATATATACATATACATATAAACACGTACCTTCATCTACAGCTTGTTCATGAGACGCAGAGAAGCAAATAGATTGAAATTAGTAACATCTCTTAACGTTTGACACAATCTCTGTTTCATCACCTATCAGATGGCCCACATGCTGATCCGTCCATGATCAGACCAGCTGGACCCAACCAGATAGTCAACCGGATGCAAAACGCCTCAGGTACGCCGGAGACTGTTGTCTTTTTTTTTTCTTTTTTTTTTTTAAACCTAATTTATCATCAGCTGACATTGAAATCATCTTTTGTTTCTTTTTGTGTGTCTTATTTGTTGTTGGTGTCCTGTCTTAATCATAGGAATGAACCAATTTGGACAGATGGGGATGCAGGCAATGGGTCAAAGGTCAACACCTCCTCTTCCCCTTGGTGCTCCAATAAACCAGGTTGGTATCACTTTAGTTAAAAGCACTTTGTCAGTCCATACATTTGACTGGAATTAATTTGGAATCTCGTATTAACATAACTGTTGATATTTTATTTTCAGATGGGCATGGGTGCACCAAGAATGGGTCAGCCCAATTCTACACAATTACAGAACCAATACCTTTCCCAAGGCCAGTTTCCAGGATCCAGTCCTGGACTTAATTCTGTTTCAGTGGGCATGAATCAGCCAGGGCCACAGACTGCAGTGCCACAGGTGAATACTGGGTATTAGTACTTAAAAAAAGCAACTGTGAGACGAAATGTTTCAGTCTCCAACAGTGTCCACTGACTAGACTCAACTAAAATAGAAAAATAAAAATAAGCATGAACATTGACTTTACCGCTAAGAAGGAAAGCATATTATTCTTGTTTTAATTTCACAAATAAGTACATATAACTATTTTAGAAATGTGAGTCTTGTGTGCCATATTTCTAGTATCATTATTATCATTAAGAAAGGTTTAATTTCTTTTTCTTTTCTTTTCTTCAGCAAAACCAGATGTCAGTGCCACCATCTCTTCCAGCCAGCAGTCCTGCAGCACAGTCTGCTTCATCTGCTCCAGGCTCTGCAGCCCCTATGGGACCTGGTAGTGCTGGTGGAGCTGGGCCTTTACCCAACATGCCTCCATCATCCACGCCCACCCAGCCCAACTCCTATCCTCACTGCTCATCCATTCGAACAAACTCCCCGTCACCAGCTCGCAGCTTAACCCCACAACCCCATCAAACACCGCCAGCGTTGCCTCGTTCTCAGACTCCACAGCCACAGACGCCAAACACGCCTCAGCTGCCTCCACCTCCGCAGCAGCAGCAGCAGCAGCAACAACAACAACAACAACAACAACAGAAGCAGCAACAACAGCAGCAGCAGCAGCACCAAACGTCGCAACACCAACAGCAACCGCTATCAGGGCTAACAGTGAAGACGGAGAAGCCACAGCAGACCCTCTGCAGCATGGCTTCCTCAGTCCCACAGTCGGGTCAGAATTCTTCAGCCCCGAACCAGAATGCCCATGTACCACTGCAGCTGCAGAGCCCAGTGAGTAGATCATCCCGCTGTCACTGCTTGTAGCTTCCTGGTAATTCAGGTTTAACAAGCTGTAATTTATTTGATCTTGTTAGTTCTAGTTTAGGCATACGCATGTCGAGTGCTTTACAAAGAAACCCAGAAAGATTTGTTTCCATTTTATGTTGAAAAATAGACAGAAATGAAAAGAAAGAGAATGGGAAAAACTTTTGGGATTGTTAATTGCACATAAATTAGAATATACATTTTATAAAATAACTTAATCCTTAAGCTATTTTGAAAAGTGAAATGATCATAAATGGAATTCCATAAAAGACAAATGTTCACCATGATTAGATTTGACCCTGATGAAACCTTTAAACCTCTGTTGACCTTTGTCTCTAACTCAGCCATCTGCAAAGCCCTCCGTGACCACAGATTGCCAGACGTCCTCTCCAGCATCAGTCAACAGCAGTACTGATGCCAGCTCCCAGCATGCTCCAGCAGAAGAACTTGTTCCCGTCCAGGAAGATGTTAAAATGGAAGTGAAGAAAGAGAAGGAAGAGGAAGATGAAGGAACTGATGTAAAGGAGGAGGAGCAGAAAGAGAAGAAGGAGGGAAAAGATCAGTGTGACATGAAGATGGAAGACAAACCTGAGGTAAAAGCATTCTAGAAGGAATTCAATCCTGGTTTTCTGCCTGAAAGTCTTTAATTAGCTGTAGTGCTTTATGGCTGGCATTCAGCTCCATTGGTTGTTAATATAATGACAATTAAATCCTATCAGATTAAGGAGGAAAAGCCGTTGGCAGGCGGATGTAAAAGTGAACCCATGGATACATCGTCGTCCTCTGTGTCATCGTCTGCGGCCACGAGTGACGACAAGAAGCCTGAGGTTAAGAAAGAGCCCAAAGAAGAAGAGGAGGGGTCAGCCACCAACAGCTCCCCAGCCAGCAGTCAAAGCAAAAAGAAAGGTAGGTTTGACTAGTTCCCGTGTCTCGATGAGTAGGATTATCACTTGACATCAAGTTCACATCTTTTTGTGCTGAAAATTAGAAGAATTTAATTACGGCAGCCTCTTCAAAGCTGCTTTCAACCCTTTACTTTTAGGGGAAGAGGAGGAATGGCAAAGGCTGCTCTGAAATAGGAATTTTACAGCACCAGCACCAGATTTGTGGTTGTCTCTTCATCATCTGCGTGCCTTGAACACCATTACAAAACACAGTTAAGAAGAAGCATAAACATGGGTTGGTGTCAGAATCATGTCTGTGTCCCAAACATTGACCACGTAAATGAACTTGATTTTTCCCATCTTTATTTTTAAACTCAGGTTCCAGGTCCTTCCAACAGAAAATCAGATCAATTCCAATAACATGTATAGATAGAAATTCCTATAGAATGGTCAGATCATCAGAGAGGACTACATGGTCAGGTGGCACCGTACACCGTAGTATTGAATGCCTTCTACTGCACAGTCTCTCCATTGGTTTTTCTGTCTCTACTTTTTCTAGTTTTTAAGCCTGAGGAGCTGCGTCAGGCTCTGATGCCCACCCTGGAGGCCTTGTACCGGCAGGACCCCGAATCACTTCCCTTCCGTCAGCCGGTGGACCCCCAGTTACTGGGAATACCCGTACGTATTCGAACTAGTAACAAAACTAACCTGGTAAGGGACTGCACTGGCTGCCATTTTGCTTCAACTCCTCTTAAAATAGTTATTTTGTTTCTGTTTTATTTTGTCCATTGCCTTATTTTGTTTTTGTTTTTTTTTCCTGCATTGTCATCAGAACATTTCATTCATCAGTTTAGTTCTTTTAACCTTACAGAATATTTTTTTGATTGCATGTCAGAGCCTTAGAACGTAGGACACAGTGTGTGTGTGTTTGTGTGGATGTGCTACAGTGTTTCAGTTTTCGTTCTTCCCTGAAACTTCTCGTCATACATAAATCAAAGCAGTGACTCTTTTGAACTTTTTGCATTCGCTTTGACTCAAAAAAACAAAGTAAATTATAATGTAATTAATTCAAAGTCAGTTTGATATACTCTAAGAATCGACATATTGTGGTCTAGTACTAGCTGAATTCAAGTGGTAGCTACTGAGACACACATGATCAAAAACAAAAGTATTGATCTGTATGTCACTCCACGTCTTTAGCATTGACCAAAAACCTGCAGGTGTTCATGAGTTCATTGCTTTTATTTATCACCTGAATATGTTGATCATCTGCATTCTCCACAGTTTTGTTTTGAGCTATTTGGGGAAGAAAAAGCATTTTCATGTAGTTTTCATCTTTCTATTCCATCGTCAGCTTCCTGGTTCAGTTCCTCACCAGTAGTAGTATTAGTGTGTCAGTGTTGAGGTTGGCAGTGTGTCAGAGGTGAG